GCTCGTCAGTGAACAACGGCTCTGTGTAGTTAATGCTGCTCAATGTGAAAGGCCGCAGGTGATGGAGATTTACCGCTGATTACAGAACCGGCTTTCTGACAAGATGCGCGTTAAATATCGCATGCGATTAATCGTGCAGCCCTAATCCAAAGGAAACTCACCTCCATCTGCTGATTCCCACGTTGGACGATCCTGCAAACCAGGGGTCCAGTATGTAAACGCATCTCAGAGTATCGGCTCCTATTACAGAGTCCCGCAGAGATGGGTTATCATGGAGCCTTAAGCCCTTCCTGAACCAGTGGATCGTATTGACCACCATTATTCCTAATGTACCGCAGTCCCTTCTGAGATCACGAATGCTCCAGCAAACCCGGACTTCTCAATTCAGGTATAAAGTCTGATCTGGTTACGTCTTCTTCAGCCTTGCTCAAGAAAAACTTTTCTCATGTTGAAGCTGGATCTCTGCGCTTTACACACCCTGTGATGATTGACACGACAGACAGATGCTATTGCTGCATCAGCGAGTTTACAGCGTGTTTAGACTGTACGCCTCGACAAAAACACGCACCACTGTGTAAAACTGACGGATTTATATATATATATATATATATATATATATATATATATAAACACACAAAAAAACCTCAACAAAGAAAGCACGCGACCGTCAACATGGACTCGCGAAGACAGAAAGAAACAACAACAGCCGTTTAACTTCTTCCTAAAACGTTAAATATTTGTTTTCAGGTTAATTCCATATGTAAGTACACGTTCTCTATCCGCGTGACAGTACAGGCGTCGTTTAGCAATGGATATTCACACGATTGTTGTTGTCCTTTAGTTGAATGTCAATTTTTCATTCACCCCGTGAACCGTTAGCCATTAGTCGACTCCGCCCACTCGCTGACGCAAACTGGCACCTACGCAGCCGATTGGTCAGATCCGCACGGCAGACGTAATAGACCATCACGTTTCTGCGGCGTGCTCGCGCAGACCCGCACTTTTAGCACTGATAACATCACAGATGAGGTAGATTTCGTCAAGTTAATGGCATGTTCTCGATTATTTTTCTCCATGATGTGTAAAGGTCACTTAAAATAATAGCGCATAAATGCATAGAAAAAGCTTTTTGTGCCCATGTTACTGCTCGACTCTGATTGGACAGGGCGTGAGTACCCGGATAGGCACATGAACAGGGGCACAAGGGAACAGTTCTCTTTCTTACTGTGTTACAGTCACTGATTTATGCTATTGCAATCTCTTAAGTCTGTAAACATAAATGTCTTGATGTCATTTTGAGTTAGGTCTATTATTTAGTATTTTTCCTTTGTGCCATATACTCACTGTATTAGTCCTAGCTATTAGGAAAATAGGAAGTGCTTGGTGTGTCTCATTTTTATCTTTCGTTTTGCATTGAAAACATGTGACCTTTTTCAGACTGTGGGAGTGAAGTTCACAAGAAGCCTCTATTCAAGATGACTGATATATTATGCATATTCTTCATTATTAATGAACAGGAATCTCGTTACTCTGAGCCCCATCTGAAAGGGAGAATAGGGAAGAGGACAGGTGTTCATTTGATCCCTTGCTTTTTGTCCTCAAACATGCTGCCCTGCTTGGTCTACTGAATCGGAGCAGTTTCATGCATGCTGACTACTACTTGTATAAAGTCTATCTAGTTTGTTTTGGCCATTTAAGATCACTAGATCTAAAGCTCTGCTTTCACTCCAGAGACCAATTACAGTTTATTTACTGATGGAATTCTTAGTAAATGGAATGCAATCTGACCAAAATCGTTTCTGGAAAAAGTGGGTTTTATGAGAAGTTCGGTAGTTTAATTTAAACTTTTTATAAAGTAAAATCCTAAAAATGTCTATCTATCTATCTATCTATCTATCTATCTATCTATCTATCTATCTATCGTGACCTTTAATGATCATAACACAAAGAAATGATTTAGATCTAGACCTTGTTTTCATTAAAATGACTTTGCTTAATACTTTATATAGTCTAAAGTTGGAGTCAAAATGGGACTTTCATTTTTACACGATCTAACATCTCTCCATAACCTTTTAGAGGGGATCTTCAGATGAGCAGAAGTACACAGACCCATCATGCAGCACCGTGCGAATTCAAAACCAACTGTACGCAGCAATGGTCCCGTCAGCGTATTGGATGCAGTACTGTATGTGGCTCCTCCTCCAACTGATGCTTCGCAGCCTTCAAACACACTGGTGTGTGCCATAACAACACCACTGCTCCTTCAAAGTTGGGGGTGCATTTTCAACAGTGAACGCAAGAATTTGGGAACTCGCCTGTGCCTTTCCAGTAACATTGTGGACCGAATAAAGCAGCCAAGCAGTGGCGTTTGTTTGCAAAGGAACGTTTCCCCTTGCTTTTAGCCTTGTGGACAATATGAAGTGCAGCTATGGCAAAAAGGGGTAAATCCGTGGTGAGGACCCTGGAGGATTTGACGCTGGATTCGGGTTACGGTGGAGCCGCGGACTCCTTCAGGTCATCCAGCTTGTCTCTGTGCGGCTCCGAAGCGCACATCTCCTATGCGCATGGAGGGCACTGCTGGCATCTGACCGACTCCATGCGCAGTCGACACAACAGCCTAGACACCGTCAACACCGTCCTGGCTGAAGACGGCGAGACCCTGGAGTGTTCCGGACACTGTGCGAAACTTCCCGAGCTTGAGGATGTGCCCTGGAGCCTCGGGGAGGTGGAGAACGCGCTCAACAAGGAGGAAGAGTTGAGGTTCGGGACCGTGTCCGCGGATCTGCTGGCGCGCCTCTCCACGCTCGTGAGCCGCGCGCTGGTGAGGATCGCCAGGGAAGCGCAGCGGCTGAGTTTGCGCTACGGCAAATGCACCAAATACGAAGTCCAAAGTGCCATCAAGATGATCCTATCGTGGACCATCTCGGTCAACTGCATCGCCGCGGCGCTCAGCGCGCTGTCCATGTACAACATGAGCACCGAGGATAAATTCAGCCGGGGGAAATCGGAGAGATGCGGCTTGGTCTTCTCCGTGGGGGGGGTCTTCAGGTGGATGGTGGACAGCAGGGTCGCGGCTCGCATCCACGAGCATGCAGCCATATACCTGACCGCCTGTATGGAGAGCCTCTTCCGAGAGGTCTTCAATCTGCTGGCGCGCCTCTCCACGCTCGTGAGCCGCGCGCTGGTGAGGATCGCCAGGGAAGCGCAGCGGCTGAGTTTGCGCTACGGCAAATGCACCAAATACGAAGTCCAAAGTGCCATCAAGATGATCCTATCGTGGACCATCTCGGTCAACTGCATCGCCGCGGCGCTCAGCGCGCTGTCCATGTACAACATGAGCACCGAGGATAAATTCAGCCGGGGGAAATCGGAGAGATGCGGCTTGGTCTTCTCCGTGGGGAGGTTCTTCAGGTGGATGGTGGACAGCAGGGTCGCGGCTCGCATCCACGAGCATGCAGCCATATACCTGACCGCCTGTATGGAGAGCCTCTTCCGAGAGGTCTTCAGCCGGGTGTTGAGTAGCTCGGTGGTGGAGAAGGATAACGGGATCCCCAAATTCACACTGGAATCCTTTGAGCAGGCTCTGAGCAATGATTCGGAGTTGTACGGCCTCCTTTTGCCCTATCAGCACCTCACATGTGGGAAAAATGCCAATGGTAAGTTCAGCTCTTGAAAAGCAGTTCAACAGGCTTTTAAAATGAACAGATTTCTTTTTTTATTCAGAGGGAGGGTGAACGCTTAAAGCTTGTTTATGTTTTTATGCCTCACGTTCGGGTCAGATTTTGATTATGGTAACTGAGGGAAAAACGTAACCAGCTATAATGTTTATGCAGTGACATTAACTTTTAGGCCCATTGCCCAGAAACTGACATCAACTGTGTATATATTATTACACAGCCTCAATGACTACGTTTACGTGCTCAATAATATTACAGCATTTATCAGAATTTGGTTGTGTATTCTGGTTACGTAAGCATCAAGAAAGTACATTAACCTGATTGCCATTATCAATAATACGGTTAAAGATAGTTGTGAAATGTCAGTCTATTGAAGATGATGTGCATCTTGGCTGCATTTACTTGCGCAAAAATTAAAATATGCTGATATTCTAATGCACTCTTGTGTTTTGTTGTTAAAGACATCAATGAGTTGATTGAGTTACTGTTATGGAGCATAATAAATGGCAAAATCATGCTTAAATGTCTTTTTTGGATGCCAGAATATAAACATAATAGCAAAATAATGTGCATGTAAACATAGTCATTATGATGTTTGGCCCAAACACTTCAGAAATGTGAGATAACCTAATTTATCAGGGATGTGCTTTGATTTATGTGTGCATGGATGTATTTATAGATGTGTATTTGGCTGTGTATGCTGTGCACTGTGTTTAATGTAAGTGTGTGTTAGAGAGCGGTTAGTTTTTAATACCGTGCTCAGCTGCATTTTCCATGGGTAATTAGCTCCCAGTACCATCTTGTTCTTTTTAATGTATCATTTGTACAGTTATGGTACTTATGAATGTGTCATCCAGAATGTTTCCAGGCTGTAGTTTATGTACAGGGTGACATAATCCAAATGATAGACCCTGGAGCAAAGAGACTATTCAATGTATAACTTCCAATAATGCTTGTGCAACAATGTGGACTTGACAGTATTGCAGCACCAAACAGAGTGATGATGTCATTGATTTAATACAGCTGCCTGGCAGAGGGGCTTTTCTATCATATTCTATTGGTGTCCATTTTAGGAATATGTATGGATTTGTGCCACTTGTAACGATATATTCACTGAACACATAATTGTGTTTATTACTTTTACTCTATATATACTGTGCATATATAAGAAATGTATAGGATATACACTAAGTCCTCAAAATTCTTTGTATAGTGTTTTTCATGATACACACGGTTTCATTCAATCATGATGTTAATGTTTTATGTTAATCTTAATATCTTCATAGTCACATTCATCAGATTAGAGCTGGGCAATAATATAGCTTACATTGTGTGATGATACAAGCAATCAAGCTGTTGAGATTTTCTATACAGTATATATTATCCTACGTGAGTAATTTGTTGTTTGTTGAAGCAAAAAAATAATAATTGAAGACAACATTAACACTTACTTTAAGTTGTAACACTTTTTTTATATACATCTACTTATATCTAACTTTTAATAAAGAGCTGGGTGATAATGTAGTTAACATTTTGCAATAATATAAACAATCAGGCACTTGAGATTTGCTATTTATATCACTTTACGTTAGTATATTGTGTGTGTGTATATATATATATATACACAATGAATGTATACACA